TATGTGTATGAATGTTATGACGTGTCAAATATATCAAGGTTTCTTTGAAACTCAAAGCCCTGATTATTGATACCAAATTGTTTCAAAATCCTAAAGAGTTGAATTTTGAATAATGTGAGCATACCATTATATCCATTAAAACCATTGTATTATGTAAACCAGCAAAACCATTGTACAATTTTGTGTTTTGAATGTATCTGAACATGGCCTACTCAAATTACACGGCCTGATATCTTGCCATAGCAAGGCCAAAAATGCAAGGCCATTGAATTTTGAAGATCAAGTGTAGCTTACATGACGTTTCTGGCGGTGCTCTTCGAAATTTTGATCTTCTTCCTTCAAAATTGTTCATTGGCCTTACTTTATGGTATAATCTTGTAGCTAAAAGTCTAGCGATCATTTCAAGAGTTTATTGGCTGAAATTGGTTCATTTTTCGCCAAGAAATCATAGTTTATAAATTGGTGCGATCGGCGGTTGTTTTGTTTATCACGCGCTCGTCTTCGTTCGAAAATTTTAGCTCTTAAATCTATCGTGGATTATCTATATTTGGTATCTACGTGTTCCTGGTACTCTCTACATTTCTACAAGATTTTTGGAGTCGAATTGTATACATTTTTTCTTTTATTTACGAAAATCGTCAAACCCAGAATTATAGCGATGGTGCTTCCTATTTTCAACGGCGTTCTTCCTACTCCAACTACGCATTAATTGGAAATCTTGGTATTGGTTCTTCTCCATCCTGGGACATCAATACAAACAATAAATCGATCAAACTTAAAATAGAATGGTATGTTGAAAAGAACAATAACAGTTCTCATGAATTCCCTAAATCTCTACTTAACATACTATCAGCCTACAACCTTGTACAACCTACCTGGTCCTCCTCCTTTGCTGAAGAGAAACTGTCTTTCAAGTTTGAATGGAAACTACTCTCTGATGCTACTAACCAACCTGAACAAGTTAAAACTCCATCTACTAACTTACCTTTCCATACTCCTGTCTCTGGCTATACATCAACATCTAAATCGTATGTATATTCACCACCTGTGAGATGAATTCTTCTTGTTAGTTGAGTCAGGAACATGTATTGTGTTTAGGTTTGTCCTTGGATTTAGTTTGTGTAGATGGAGTATTTTTCCTTTTATGAGCAAAAGTACCTGGATGGTAAGGAGTGTATGGAGGAGTGAGAGGATTTAGAAAAGCAGCAGCATGATTGTGGAAGAGTTTGGTAGGAGTTGTAAGATTGGGTGGTGAATATACATACGATTTAGATGTTGATGTATAGCCAGAGACAGGAGTATGGAAAGGTAAGTTAGTAGATGGAGTTTTAACTTGTTCAGGTTGGTTAGTAGCATCAGAGAGTAGTTTCCATTCAAACTTGAAAGACAGTTTCTCTTCAGCAAAGGAGGAGGACCAGGTAGGTTGTACAAGGTTGTAGGCTGATAGTATGTTAAGTAGAGATTTAGGGAATTCATGAGAACTGTTATTGTTCTTTTCAACATACCATTCTATTTTAAGTTTGATCGATTTATTTTTTATATTGATGTCCCAGGATGGAGAAGAACCAATACCAAGATTTCCAATTAATGCGTAGTTGGAGTAGGAAGAACGCCGTTGAAAATAGGAAGCACCATCGCTATAATTCTGGGTTTGACGATTTTCGTAAATAAAAGAAAAAATGTATGCAATTCGACTCCAAAAATCTTGTAGAAATGTAGAGGAGAGTACCAGGAACACGTAGATACCAAATATAGATAATCCACGATAGATTTAAGAGCTAAAATTTTCGAACGAAGACGAGCGCGTGATAAACAAAACAACCGCCGATCGCACCAATTTATAAACTATGATTTCTCGGCGAAAAATGAACCAATTTATGCCAATAAACTCTTGAAATGATCGCTAGACTTTTAGCTACAAGATTATACCATAAAGTAAGGCCAATGAACAATTTTGAAGGAAGAAGATCAAAATTTCGAAGAGCACCGCCGGAAACGTCATGTAAGCTACACTTGATCTTCAAAATTCAATGGCCTTGCATTTTTGGCCTTGCTATGGCAAGATATCAGGCCGTGTAATTTGAGTAGGCCATGATCTGAACGTATTTGAAGCTGCGACATCAGCAACATCTTTTTAAGCTAATTAGAATGACTTTCCGGCTTTAATATATCACTGATTGTTATTTTAACTTTGCAAGTTTATGTTTAAAATTTAGTTAAACAGCACAGGTTTGTTAGCTATTCATATCATACACTGAGAGAGCTTTTATTTTTAGCGTAACATTCTTCAATAGCCCTGGAGAACGCTATGTTTTTGTGTTGCTATTGAAGTTATAAAAGGAATAGTACGTTTAGTTGGTAAGGAAAATTGGTCAAATAAAACTGACAAATCTTGTTCCATTTCAGGAGCATGGTAATGTTTGGCCCTTGACTGAACTTCACGTGTTTTGAATGTGTTGTTATTAATGAGTGAATCTATCTATACTGCATGCATTTTGAAAATATATTTAGTTTTTGCCATAGTTTATAGAGCGATTTGTAGTCATAAATATGCTTGTGTTTTATTTTCCCAATAAGATTATTTCTTTCTATCACATCTTTTTCTAGTTTGATGGAGGTAGCATTATCTTGCCTAAGTTTTAAAGTTGAACTTGCAAACTTAATTTAAAATGGGAGATCTATTAAAGCCAGAAATAGAAGTTACACTGTAAGTAATTCGTTTAACTAGACGTATGTTGATGCCGCAACTGCAAATATGTTTAGCTGCATTTAAAATAAAAGCTGGTAACCTACTCAATGATCAATTTTTCATTATATTTTGATTTTACTTTTTTAATGAAATTCATGGATGCCCACATTATCCATTTAGGACTTCGAAACAATTTAGTACCAATAATCAGGATTTCGAGTTTGAAAGAAACCTTGATATTTTGGATACATCATAACATTCATAAACACAATAGCCCATTAGCCCAAATGGTATATCTGACACCAGCCACCCATAAGAGAACTTCTTATTTGAAAGTGTTGTTGTCGATATGCAATCTCAAAATGCTTTTATCAGTTGGAGAAGTCTTCTGCTCCTCAAGTTATTCTTCCATCTCTTATATCTCACTCTTAAAAACAAACAATGTCCAGTGAAGATGGAGAGCGTTTAAACTTTGTCAATACATCACAGAATGGTGATCTCCGAAAATATGCATAAATTGACACCCAATTCCGACGATCATGCAAAACGTGTCTTTGTCTCCACATTACTTGCAAATTACAAGGAAATCGTGATAATATTTGCTCAGATAAGTCAAAATTTGCCAAAATGGTCATATTTATTTGTAGAATACAAGTTCCTATCTGTTACTATGTAATAAACGTTCTATACTTGACAGGGGTAAAAATCAACACGCGAAAAGATAGCGTATTTTGAGCTTAAATATTTTGCGATCTAGAACAAATCAAAAAAATCCCAAAGGTCATATCAAGAACCAAATAGTTGAAGAAAAATACTCACTATATCTTATGCAAACGTTATTTTTTCAAAAAACTCAATAACGAATGGCAACAACTTCGTTGAACAAAGTGCTTCGTTTTGTTTATGTTCTTGTCTATTGACGCATTCTGATTAGCTAATAACACAAAAATGTCAACAAAAGCGCTGATTGGTTTAACATAATTGGACCTTGTTATGCCAATACCAACTGACTTGAGGCGCGTACGTATTAAAGCCGTAAATTGGCTCATTTGCTTACGACCTTCGTGGGGGGGGGTTCCACTTTACTACTGTACTTTTGTATTACAAAATCCCACTTTTTGTGTTTTTATTTATTCTACAAACCTTTGATTCAAGCAAAACTTTTGTGAAAGGGACAGGAAGACCGACTGGCAAAAATATTTAATCCTAAAAAGTTCTTTATTCTTGGCTTTATGATGTGATACCAGAGAGTGATTACAACCGTGAACAACCGTGTTTCTAATTGACAAATAAGCCATAATGAATGCTGTCCTTTGAATCAATGTGTTACTTTATAACCTGTAACACAAAATCTTTTCATCAGACGAAATTTGTTTTTATGTGATTAGATAGCAACTATGAATATGTCTTCTTGACTTCATTTTTAACATTTATGCTTTACTCAACCTTTTTTTACCGTAACAGGTAAAATTATTTTAGATTTTTTTTTTCGTAACTTTTTCGTAACTTTCGAAAGAATTCGTAACTTTTTATACATAGCGTCTCAAATTTTACTCCTCCAGTCCACTATTACCTTCTGAAAAAACAACCTTTACTAAGTGTCGCACTTTGCCCCAGGAATTGGGGAAAGTAAGACACATCTACTTGTCTAATATGAGTGAGGAAAGCCGTATTTGCATTTTTGAACGATTTTTTACAGTAATTTGTATCAATAGGAACTTTGAGATTCACTGTGCCAAATTTCGAATTAAAATCTTTAAAAAACACTGCTAGACTTGCTTTTTATGAATGTTTTATTATAACTATAGGGTCCACATACACCATTTCAAAGGACACTATTGTATCAAATGTAACCAACTGTGATCAAGTCTTTGTTCTCTCGTGCTCCTATCTAATATATGCATTATACCCACGTGATCATTAACCAATCATTTAACGTAATTATTGCTAACTAATTAAACCAATTAACTAATTTCTACAATATCCATAAACGTGAAAAAGTGTCGCAATTTGCCCCAGACTACTATAAAGGACTCGTTTATTTGCATTATATGAAGCATGTTTGACTCAACAAGTTCTGTTTGTTTTGATAGCTTTAGTTTTTGTCTCTATAACTTAAAACTTAAAATCTCCCGCTACAAAAACGACAAAGAATTAACGTTTAGGTATTGGTATTGGTATTACAAGTAGAATTTAGCCCTCTGAACTCTGTTGTGTAGGAAGATGGAATTTAAAGATTTAAAAAACGTTTTACGTGGAACCTTTTCTGAAAATGCTTACATCTTATGTCACGTAATGTTTATCTTCATAGTTCTCTCGATGTCATTAGCAAAAGTCTCATGTTTTGTCAAAAGACACACTTGACGTCGGATTCTGATTTAGAAGAACCAACGAGTAAGAAGCAAAAGAAAGAAACCAGGGGCAAGTTTTTTTTTGTGCAGATCTAGTTTTGTACGAACTGTTTTTCTATTCCCTATCTTATAAGTAAATTCACTGCTTTTCGATGGTTGATGGTCGCGAAAAGTCGTCTAGAAATAACGTCGGCATGCGTCCATGGAGGAACCAGCTGAATTTTACAACATAGCTAGTTTATATTATATTTATCATTTTCCGAAGGTATGTCAAATCTTAAAGTTGCACATTAAGGAGAAAATGAGCGTTGTTTGACTGCGTTGTTTGACTGCGTTGTTGAACAACGAAGTCCGCCATCGTGAAACAAAAAATCGCTACGCTTGCACATAGCCTCGGAAATATCAACACAAGAAATGAGTTAGCAACTGAAGAAGTCTTTGAAAAAATGTGAAGTGCAACAGCTTAAAATTTTCATCACAAAGAAAAACTTGAAAAATCTATGTGATAAAAAGTAGGCTAATAGAACATCGAATAATGTCTTTTTAAAAATATTTCAAAAGTATATATATCAACGTTTTCAAACTATTGTTTCCCCGAAGAAACGAAAAAAGAGCATTTTGGTTATGCTTGATTGAACCAAAAATCATCAATACCATGCTCCGAGTATATTTTTCTACTTCGGTTTGTTAATAAAATTGCTAAGTCAGCCGTGAGTCCTGATCCATTGTGGAAAGTTATGACTTTGAGCGTCTTAGTCGTCTATGTTTCTGTGCAGAAGCCTTCTTGTCTGCGTCATTACTTGCAATATGAGTACAGAGTTGGAGCCTTGTCATACTGTATGTACAGTATACTAAAACAGTAGAAGTACTTTGCTCAACTAGCAATATATCACTACAACGACAAAGATGTCGTGTGCACTGCAGACAACTGTGAATGTTGGACGTGACAGCCCAATTACAAGGTTAATAGACAGCAAAGCTTAAAAATTGAAAATTTGACTCATAGCTCAACAAATGGCATAACATAAAGCAAACACGATATCTCAGATACCATCTATAAAAATTATTGTTTAATTTTGAAATAACAAATCGCTCTATTTAGTTTGAAGCAACATTGATAAAATAATTCATACAATATGCATTTCTTATCTTATCGAAACAAAAAAAGTCAACGTTGAATCACAACTATTGTGAGTAATATTTGATGTAAGTTTCGAGTAATAAACTCAAATTGAAAGGAAACGTAGCTTTGAAATTCGACTGGTAACAAATAATCTCACATATACTGAATTACAAGTCGCCGAAACTGAAAATTCCGTATATTGTCGTCTTGTTTTTCTTTGTCTCATTCTTATTTGCCTGTTCTGTTTTCTTCGCATCATTTGGACAATAAAAAACTGACTTAAAAAATTGCAATGGAATTTGCAGAGCGCCGGTATTGGTACAAAACACTCTGAAGAGCGAACATTTTCAGCGAAAGACAAATTGTCAACGTCAAAGTCGTCAATTAGCCCCAGAATTTTCGCGGATTCCTGCGCCATTTCGCCTTATTACATGAACGTTTTCTCTAATTAGCAGTAAAAAAGTAAATATAGACCAAGAAGCAAGTGGAAATGATGTTAATTTTGAGTTAGCACTATTTTTGATATGCATAACGCAAAAAACTCGTCATCCGAGCGAGCAACTTCAGCTAGCTTCGTTGTTCGCAATTGTTTACAAAGTGACATGATTGTAAATGTAGATCGTCCAGGTTGGTATAATCCTGAGAAGGACTGTTTTTGTTGTTGTTGACTGACGTTTAGACAACCTTAGCGGTAGTCATCTTCAGAGTCAAAATGACTACCGCTTCATTTTGACTCGGAAGATGACTACCGCTAAGGTTGTCGAAACGTCAGTCAACAACAACAAAAACAGTCCTTCTCAGGACTATACCAACCTGGACGATCTACATTTACGAACATGTAACGATACTCCCGGGTTCAAACCATTTACTTTGTTTACAAAGTGTAGTGAAAGACCTTTCACCCCGACGCTACCTAATTGGTTTTAGGAAAGACTCTCTTTGCTTTGATTGGCTAAGACGTTAAAACATAACATTGATTTCACGTTTCTCTGATTATATATTCAACGTAAAATAATCGATTTTTCTCTTGAATGTGCAAGTTATACGATTGACATACATGCTAAAGGTGATAAGTACTACTAGAGCAACATGATTGTCAAAAAATTTTTTGGTTTCTCGATGGACGCATGAAAAAATCACAATTTTTGAAGTGGGCCCATGGCCCAATATGTTGGGTGTATGAAAAAAGTATGCTTTTAAAAAAGTTCTTTAAGCGGAATAAGCAATAACTTTGGTAATGCTAACTAGCTACTTTAACGTTCTCTGTTACAGCCGTCACTTAAATTTTGAAATAGCAAGCTTTTTACCATGCTGTGAGAGAACTGTTATTAAATGTTCTTTAAAATAGGCCTTACGCGTAAAAATGAATCATCAGCAGAACAATTTAAATGCCCCTATAGTCCGTGATCTGTGCCTCAAAAATATGCTTTAAAAATGAGTTTCGTTGGACACCTCAAGGAAGGTCGCAAAATTTTCAAAATAGATAGAAAGTCACTTGCTGTTTGATATTCTTTTTATTGTCACTTCTAAAAAGCTGCAGTTTTTTAGTATTTCGCGGTTGAATTTCAAAATTCCTCGCTCCTTCAATTTTGAATGTCGCCATTTTTTTTGTGCGGAACTCTTTGTATCTAACTGCTGTTGTCATGGTGAGGCAAATTTATTTACGGGCGCCATCTTGAAAGGTGGCAAAAAGGCGAGACTCTTTAATAAAGTCCAAGTAAAATGTAAGTTTTAAATGAAGAATTCTGTCGAAAATTTTGGAAGCAAACCTAAACTGTCACCTTTGCACTTATGCATCAACATAGGAGAAGCCTGTTTTAGACCTAAATCTTGTCAGTTTTAAGAACTCATGGTTAAATCGTGCGCAACTTCACTTTTCGAAGGATAGCAACGCATCTTTCCATAAATTTTTCCTTAAACACTAAAGCTTGGTAAGAAATTGATCATTACCACTAAAGAATTTTTTTTAATAAGCTTTTAAAGAGGCACGTCATTATGCATAGGCCTAAGATAAATGTAAAAATTGTAGAACAAACATTTAGCAGCTTACAGCTATGTTACAGATTCCATAAAGTACATACTTTTCTGATTAACCTGCTTTAAGTGATGCAAGAGCAAAAATAAAGTTTTAAAAGTATTGCTATCAGGCTATTAGACTCACTAAACACAAGAATTACTTTGATTCAATGTTTTGACCACTCTTTCTACAAGGTCACTCCACATAGGATAAGTGAAGTCCATTCTTTACTTTGGAAGAGTAGAATTCTGAAATTTCTCTTTTTAAATATAGAAGGACAACATTTGTTTGGTTTTGTAGAACCTACACTAAGCATTAAAGTGCTTGCTCACTTACTTCTAACAGAGGATCTTGTCTCCATTACATTCCAATGTCCCAAAACCATCTTTAGTTGCTGTTTCCATGCATTGATTATATAAAGAATGACTTCAAAAATAATTCCGATATTCTTTATTTTAAATCAACATTATAAACTTTTTTCAAAGGACACAGAGTAAATTAGTAAATTAGTATGTATAGATCATAACTACATTTCTTGTTCAGAAATATATATACAGGATCACTTTTTCAATCAATGTGCCAGAACTCTTTCACTCTCCTTTTCATGGTATGACAAAGACAACTTTTATCTATGAAAGTCCTCGCTAATCAAATTTACAATAAAACAAGTTTCAACCCAAGCAAAAAACCCCAGCTTTCTGGCTTCTGAAATGGCTCACTGAAAAATATTCTTTCTTGAATTGTAAAACATGATCTTGAGCATAAAGCCTTAACTGAAGATTAACAATCATCACAACCTATGAAAGAGATTGTTGAAAAATACAAAAGTTTACCACTTCTGACATATTGTAAACAAATAGTAGCTAAGTTTGTTCTAGGAATCATATAATGTTGAGTTCTAGCTTGGTGTTTTGAGATTTTATGCTTCTTAACTGAGATTTTTAACTTCTTTTTGCAAAATACCTCTCAGTTGTATACCGAATGCAATAAGAATGACTTTAGCAATATTTACATTAACTCTTGATTAGCAATAGAAGTTTATGGAACTTATATTTTTTACCAAGCCGCGCTTTGGCCTTTCTGTTTACAACCACAAATGGATATTACTCCTCCGGATGAAAATGGGTGGCAAACGAGTGACAAGAAACTGTCTGAAATCGCATGGATGACCATTCCCCTAGCGCCGAATTCCCTACTTGACAACGTTCATTGTGGTTGTAAGACTGGCTGCAACATGGCTGTAACTCCCAACGTTGTTCATGTAACAAAGCAGGAGTGAAGTACACAGATGTATGGTCGTGTACTGCATGCACGAATGTAGATATTGATGACGACAATGATGTTAAGGAAGAGGAGTTTTTAGATGATGACATTGACGACGAATTCGAGACAGACCTTTAAAAAAAGCGCGCCTTGTCTTGCACAATACTATTATAACTTTCAAAATATTATCTTCGCAACAATTGCTAAAATCCAACCTAATGCACGAGTGAAATATGTATTTCTTTCAGACATTTTATTTATTTTGCCAGGTTTATCGTGCGGAATAGCTCTCTATTAGGTCTGGCACTAGCACACAAAATATAAATAACATGAAGTTTCTAGAGGAAAATGGCGGATTCCGAAATTGTAATGAGCTACAAATTTTAAAATTTTAATGTAATATAGCAATAAAACTGCAGCTTTTTGGAGATGACAAGAAGTAAAACTGCGTTAAGCATGTAAAAGTCGTTCTGTCTTGAATTTTTCACGACCTTCCTTGAGGTGTCCAACGGGAATGAAAGAAAATCGGTCACAGATCACGGACTACTAGAATGTACTGTAATAACTATCGAATCTTAAACGATTCGGCGCACGCGCAGGCGAACGTAAGATCTTATAAACTTGGATTTTCTCGTGTTTTTGCTTATCATACTAAGTTTTGGTTTTTGTAACATCATATGAAAGGATCTTTTGTGCATCTTTGAAAGTTTGCATTAAGATGTGAAATTTGCTATCGGGTGCACCAAATTGTTTGAAATTTTAATCGTTTGCGAACACGGTCCATCTTTTGACTAAGGATATTGTTAAATTATTTTGCGATGATCAATTTTTGAGCGCCAGGCCTGTTTAAAAAGACTTTAAACAAACGTCTATTGCTGGTGTAAAATCTTTGTTGGAAAAACTTTCGTGTCTTGTTTTGGAGAGCTTTTTCCATAGTAAAATTTTTACGTACTCTTTACAAATATGCGCCCATGCATACAAGCAAGGGAATGGAAACTTAAAGAAACCAATTAAATGGTCTTGCTATGCCAGATTAAAAGATGTTGCTTTGCCATATGGACTAAAGATTGCTTTTACAGTTCGAAAAAGATCTCCATGTTTGTGTTTAATATTCTTTTCGTATTGACTAAATAAATCTTTATTGAATCTAGTCAAAAGCGAGAATTTTCAACATGTGCAGCTACAAGACTTACAACAACTGAAGGTTTTAAAGTACTTTATTATTAAACATTTCAGTATATGTTTAAGTTTTTTTCTTCGAAGTGAAATTCACATACCTAAATGCAAACACCCTTGAGTAGTGTAGTTTCTTTACTGGTTGAAGATATTAACGTTCGATTATTTCTTGATACTTGCCGTGATTCACATTCAGGTGTAAATGCGTTTTCATTCTACAAGACCTGACTCTGATTGACATAGGACAATGTTCCTAGGACTAGTGCATTGCTAGCTGGCATGAAAACTCTGTTTTATGTCAGTCCTAGATAAATCTTGATCTTTTTACTTTACTGGCTAAGTTGTTCCTTAGTCAAGTTCAAACCCGTGGTATTGTTAGGAATGACGATACATTATATGTGTATTAAACTAAGTATTAGATATCTGATCATAGTACTAGTCACATGATCTGGTAAGCACTTCTTATTGTATGCTAATTGTTATTTAATCCCTTATTATGTTCTTCTCGATACCGCATGGTTTTGGACAACACTTATTATGTAGCTTGTATTATTTAATATATCTTGTTTTGTTCCTGCACATTTGAATAATAAATTAATAGGTGTGAACATGGTTTATATGATTTACTTTTTTATCGTTCTTTAGGCATCCGCTTTGTATTACCAGAGCCTGCTTCTTCCATCAATTAAAGGAAATGAAGAAAAATTTGCTTCGCACTCCCGATGAATTCTTTGCCAGAGAAACAGCGCTGTATTGTTTTTAGTTCAAAATAACTGCTGACACACGCACAGATTGTCAAATTTAATATTCATATTCAGACATTTTGTTGCTAATAACTAATACAAGATAACTGATTTTCTTTGTTAAAAGTAGATATATGAAACCATTTTGTTAAAAGTGGTTAAAAGAAACAGTTACTGCGTGCCATTTTTCGTTATTTGACCTGACTGAAATATTATTTAACTGCTGATGATGAATTGTTTTATGACCATGCTTGGTTATTTCTTGAAGGATGTCAAACATTATGAACAGGATCGTAAACATGAAGTCAAAGGTTTTTATATTTTTTCTGTAGCCCAATACTTTAGTTGAGTATCAACTTTTCCGCTGAAGCAGTTTCTTGAAGTTTTGGCGCTGACCTCTTCACAACTTGTTTTATAAAGATTTTTCAAATGCATACAGCTGTCAGAATCATTTTAAGTTTCAGATAGCATAGAATAAATCTTTGTATTTGCTGGAAAGTACACATTATTCTAAGGTGTCGTAGATTAATAAAATCACCTTGCTTGCATTGGGTACATGTACAATTGCCAAATTTGACCTTTGTGGTGAAGAAGGTGTGTACATAAGTAACCGTTTATCAGAATCTGATCAGACTGTTGAGCACCTATGTACTTGTCAGAAATTTTTGAAGTACTTCAATTGATCCGAAAACTGAAAGTATCTTTGTTTTTTTTCTCTCTCTTGTAATACTTATCGAGAGTTTTATGAATTTCTTTTCACTACTAAAGCTCATATACGTTATTTTGTACTTTCTTGAATCTGAACGAAGCTTCTAATTTTGTCAACTAATGTCAAATAACTTTCACTCTTAAAGTTGTTGTATTGACATCTGACCATTTACATATGAAAGTTTCAGACATTTTCCAACGCTCAAAACTTTTAATCTTTATCCAACCTTATATATTTTTTGCTAACAATATTGCATTTTGACCAACTATTTAACATTGACAATTATTCGGGCGAGTGTGTGAGGTGGGGCTCACACCACCCCGTGACAAACCCTAATATAATCAAACAATTGCTGTAGTGAAACGCAATTAAAAGTACACTCAGATTACTTTTTTCATACACCCAACATATTGGGCCATGGGCCCACTTCGAAAATTGTGATTTTTTCATGCGTCCAAATGAAGCGGTAGTCATTTTGACTCTGAAGATGACTACCGCTAAGGTTGTCGAAACGTCAGTCAACAACAACAAAAACAGTCCTTCTCCACCCGTTTCACCAATTCTAAAACGCTTAAAGCGTTTGTTCTAATTTTTAGAAATGCGTTACGAAGCGTCAATAAAATGTATTCCGCGCATTCTGATGTATGGGATTCACGAATTTATGAAATACTTTATTTAGTCATCTTTATTTTCCTGTTCTGTGATCTGGCTATGGTGGAAAACGTTCGATGTTCAGCTTCTTATGATATTTTCTTGAAGGATTATTAGATCTTGAAGGATTATTATGTTCGAGGAATGATTTCAACAGCAGCTAGTATGAGGGATGTCATCCAAGAAGCTGCGAACCAAGCTAATATCACGTTTGAAAGAGTCAAAGTAAACAGAATACACGAGTTTATACTTTTTACCCGCGCTTTCTTTTTCATTAGCAACGAGTGATCTTCGCCTGTATTTTTTGATCTGATGGGTTTAGTTATTGTTGCTGTAACTGACATTAAATATAGCGTGCATTTTATATCTTCTAATTATACCCTTAACTTATATAATAGACAGTTTACAAGATGTCAGAGATATATAAACAGATATACTTAGGATTTTCCCTTTATTGGGGAGAGCATGGTTTATTTTCTGACTGTACCACAATACCAGTGTGTTTATATTTAGTATTGCTTGACAATTGAAAATTGCAACGTTTGCTGACGATGTTTGTAAAATTTATTCTACTGTTAAAATTTTAACTTGGCCTATTAAACGTACAATTCTTATATTTTTATACTCACATTTGTTTTTACTATGTACTATAAAAAACAAGCTTGTTTTTATTTGTATTCAACCCTCTCGAGCTTTTTATCTTTCTCTGTTGTCAGATGTAATATGTATGTACCACTGGTTACTATATCTTTTTGCATTAAATCGATCTGTAGTTTTCTTCAATAATGCAATTTCTCCTTTATAAAAGTAATAAGATTATAGTATTTACATACATATACTCCATTCATAATATTCATATCATAGTATAGACTATAGAGGTGCCACAGGTAGTACATCTTAAAAAGGGGTGGGAAAACTTGGTAATTTTTCTATTTTTGAGTATGCCTTCAAGACTGTTGATCACAAATTTTTCGTAGTATTCTGAGTTTGTTGAAACTTAAGGGCAGGCATTCTGTAACATTCTCACAAATCTTATAATCAGAAAACCTATGGTTTTCCCTCGATTTTCCCTCAACAATGGTTTTCCAAAAATTAAATTATTAAATGCGCATTTTCTCTATAACACATTTTTAATGCCCACTGGTGTTTCCCTTTTCCATGAAAGACTTGCCTGGGATTCATGCTATAACAAACAGGGACCTTATCATTTTGCAAATAATAATCCTGAAATGTAGGTTAATTTGAGAATATTACCATTAATTAATTGTTTTTTAGAAATCCATAGTTTTCACAGCAAGTGAAATTTTGCGTTGTATGAATAAATGACTGAGCAGACTATGCTGTATTCATTGCATGTTTTTGAAAGTTTGCAAATGACAGAATCGTTGCAGCTTATGGAGACTCAATAATGTTGAATCTACCTTAAATTGTAAATGCTAGAGATGTTTTTCTAATTTCTACTCTCTGCTAGTCACCCCATTATTATGTATATAATTGCTTTGAAGGTTTAATTGCATTGGGTGCATGCCATTGAAGGTGATCAAGGCAAAACCTAAATTAATATACCTTAACAAATTTTCTTATTAATTAGGTTAATAGTCCCTAAAAATTTTTATCTTGTGCAGGAATAAGTCACATTTTTTACTTTTTTGGCTCTCCTAATTTACGAATAATTTGAGAAAGAAGTTTCATATAGATGGTGGTTCGTAGTTACATACTTAATGAATTCTGTTACTGGTGAAATAAGCTCATGCTTATGGCAGAATTTTCTAATGAAATTGTTTGATTGTTTGGTTTGCAAAGAAGCATTTATATTTTTTAACATAATAATTTTTTGTTGTTTAGACTAAGTTAGCATATCCTATTCTTCAAATAACTTGAAGGCTTCATGTTAGAACTCTATTTGTTCATACACCATGTAGTAAATAACCTTGGTTAACCAGGTTAGCTACAAGAAAAAGAGAAAGTTTTTATTTTTATTTCTTCTAGAAATGGATTGGGAATGAAAAGCAGTCCAGAAAAAGAAAAGCCAGCTCTCATAAAGATGAGGAGTTAAGACTGTGCCCTTCAAAGCGTAGAACTACAGCATATAATCTTTTTTGCTCACATATGCTGAACTCAGGTTCTGATCTATAAACTGTATGTTTTTTATGGCCTGTACAATATGTATCATCTTTATTCCACCAAAAGTGCTAAGACAAAACCTGTGCAGTCGTCGCTTAAACCCAAAAGAGTACTTTGTTTCTTTCTGTTGTTAAATGCCTTTTGTAAGTATGCATTTTGTAATTTTAGAGGAATGCAAGCAGCTGAGCTCTAATTCTGAGAGGTTGAAGTTAGCTGTAGACCACTGGACAAGTGTTAGGGGCAGAGGAACGTGTGATTTGGGCAGAAAGAGCAAAGGCTGTTCAAAGCAATGACATTCATGACTTGACAGTTAAGCAGCGCACAAACCAAGTAAAAAAAGGGAAAAAGCAGCTTTTGTCACAGGTACAGCTGTTATTACCCACTGTACATATGTACAGTATTATGATATAAGAGAATGATTTTTACTTTGATTGTTTGTGCGTGGATTTAGTTGAGCATCTCTATAAACATAACGTGATGGTTTGTAAATTTCAATCCATTCTAAAGGAAAGACAATTTACCTAAAGAAAACTTCTACTACAAAAAAATTTGTAAAAGTTGTTCTGAATTGTTAGAAGTAGCAAATAAATGCTGAAATTTAGCCAAGTCTACTGGGTTACAGATCCACAAAGTTAGCATTTTGTAACGTTTGCAATTTTACTGTGGAAAATATTAGCATTGATAGACCAGTGTCATGGATGTGAAGGGGGAGTATTTTGTAAGAAATTTTGCAATCCCATAGCTTTAGATAGATTAGGGTGTACGAGGGGCTCTAATTTCCCCACAAAATAATAGTATACGTATCATAAAATAAGGCCAAAGCAATTATGATAAGTGTTTAATCTAACACATTGTAGATGTGTTGATTTTTATACTTTTTGTTTACTTAGAGAAAAATTTGCTGAAAACTTATGCTGTGTAAATTCAATTAAATTTCTCTTTGCTAGCTTACTTACTTAGAAAGTCTTGGTTGTGAAGCAGTTGTTTTATTCTTGGAGCCTGGTGATTCTTGTCTTCAACAGTTTGGAACAGAAAAGGAATCAACTTTTGAATAAAATGAAAAATTGGTGTCAATTTCGTTGAGTATTTGGGTAAGTGCTGTACCTACACAGTTATTTTCAGAAACTTGTGGGTCTTGGAATACCAGTGCATTATTTCTCAAGCATTAGTGCTGTTCCAAGAATGTTTATTCAGTTGTGCCCTTCGGTTTCTTTTGAAAGTAAATTGCTTTCAAAAGTAATCACTTGGGCTCAGCTGGATATATGAATAATCCTCTCCTCCTTTCCATGCATTTTACACGAGCTTTATTTCTTTATCAATGTTTTTTTTTGTTAAATAGATTCTCCAAAACAGGTTGTCAGAAAGTACCGGGTGTGTGATGTGATAAAACTATTCAACCAGAAATACAGTAAGTGCAAATTGCATTTGAAATGATTTTCCATTTTCTGAGCTTGTGTCATGGTTGATATTTTTTAGTCCATTTTATACACAATTCCTTTTTTGACAATCAAGTTATTTTAAGTCAGCATGAATGTTTTACACCATTGTGAAACATTTCCAAACTTATTAAATCAAATCATAGGAAAGAATGCTGTTTCGTAAAAAATTAACAATGTGCATTACAGTTTACATATTTAGGAAATAGCATTTATTGTGTCTGTCCTCATATTTTTTGTACGTGTTAAAATCTCTCCCCCCATAAATATGCGCGGGACTTTTTGTTATTGTCATTGATTGTTGCTAGCTACATTTATGTATTACCCATCATTGTAATTTACTTCGAAGGTGAAGCTTGTGGGAAAATGTGCCGAGTACCTTATTTAAATGGAGGATTTACTGTTACTGGTTTGCCAGAAGGTATTACATTTAAAAAACCCAGTCAGTATGGTATTAAACAGATTTCTAACATTATGAAAAATACGCAGAATATTCATTTCAAAATAATCGAATCACCGCTAGTAGAAAAAGTTTTGACAGAGAATCGTAAATATTCTGATCAAGAGACAGAATGTTACCGATCTGTGTTGAAGAAAGTTGTTTTTGAAGAAGCCAAAGTATCAATGTGCTTGATATGTAACAAGCTGATTGAAGAATGCGATTTGGTGGTAACTGATATAGATTTGACAAAGTCAGAGCTCGATTTGTTGACTGGGAAACTTAAAAATTTTTTCAAACCTAATGCCTTTGCGACTCTTATTGCCAACTGTAAAAGCAGTCGAACACACGAAGGATACATTCTTCCGGTTTATACTGACTCTGATGAACCGTATTGGCTCTTATATTATCCTGGTGCAGCTGAAGGCATTGAATCATTGTCTACTGAAGATAAGACGAGCTCAGAGCTATATTATAAACTCATTAAAACCCAGAAAACAAACATTATTGGATTGAACCTAATCTGTTACCAGGACAAAGAATTAGGAACTTTAAGGTTAAAAACCAAAATTTTTACATCCCAAATAAGCATACCTTTCGGTTTTCACACGTCTGTTCTGGAATGCCTTGCTAAACAGGATTTCCTGTAGTGTGTTAAACTTTTTTTTGTATAGCATGCTCATGTTGTTACCAATAATTGTATGCACCTAAAGTATTCGTATTCTTATATTACGCACGAGTGTAGTTTGAATGTTAAGAAATAACTATCGGGGGAAACGAGTAAAAAAATTTCCAAATGTTCTTGTTTACGTTTTGTTGTTTTTCTCACGCTATTTCAACACCACGTCTATTGTCTCCACTATATATTGCCTTTGCTCATTGCATTTATGCCAACTTGTGATTTTGCATGACATTCAGATACCAGACCAAAATACTTAAGAAATTTCCTGGAATACTCAAAGTTTTGAGGCTCACAAAAGTCTCAAAAATCTCTAATTTTGAATCAGTGAATTAAGCCCATTTTCGTTCTTTACCAATTTTATTTGTGGATTGTTTAATAAAGCTTCGTAGCTACCCCAATGATAAGTAAAGTCATGTGGCATTTGTCAGAAAATGGGTAAAGCACATTGCAGGTTAAAGGAATAACTAAAAAATATAGACATTGTCAATTGTTAACCCATTACCCCTTATACTAGAGTATACCATTTAAAAATAAAGTTTTAGAGATTTGGCAACAGTTTTACAAAGTTATTCTAATGGAAAAGCAATCGTTTCAAATAAAATATGCAGTTTTAATCGCTTTAGTAATCTATGTTTTTTTTCAAAATCTGTTTACTCTCCATACAACGATGGAATGTGCTGCAATGATGAGTTGCAAATGAATTTGCAAACATGTGAAAGATTGGTAAATGTGTTGAATAAGATTGCAAATAAAGATTAAAAGGAAATTTTATATGAAGTTTTGTTTTCATCTAATGAGAAACGTGTTATCTTTGAACGTGATTCAGATAATAAATTACGTTTGAAAACACAAAAATCATAGCATGTTGTGGATGAAAGTGGAACTGTTTATGTTAATGATGATGATGATGATGAGATGATTGTTTCAAACCCACTGATCTAAATGATATTGCAATGATTGATTGGACGGATGAGTTTTACAAAATATATTTCAGAAAAGATGACGATTTAAAAACTATATCACAAAAATTTCGACAATTTGTTGGATTTTGTCGTGATTTATTAAAAAGTGAAGAAGAAAAGAAAAAATCAAAGGAAAGGAAGCTAAAGAAGAAAAAGTAAAAAAGAAATGGCAAAAACTATACCAAGTAAAAAAAGACAAAAAGATATTGAAAATAGTAATGAAATTTAAGCTATTTATGTATTGAAAGAGTTTTCTAATAAATTGGATATTCCAATATATGATTGCATTGGTTATCATAGTGAATTTATGAATGAAATTTTAGAGGAAAAATTGGAAAGAAATATGATTTTGTAGAATTTTATAACTAATATGGCAGTGATAAAATTGAAAGAACATATAATGATATATTTTTTTTCAAAGCTTGATTTTCATCATCCTCCAACGTTTGTGAATGATGGTGATGAGGAGAACGAAGAAGAAAACTAATAATTTAATTAACAATGACTTTATGAAAAGAGCTGCAAGATTATTAAAAGGTGAACATTTAAAAGATAATAAACAAAATATACATAATTTGTATCAAAAATAAATTTTTAAATATAAATGTATGAAAAAAAATTATGTATGGACTATTGATTTAGCTGAAATGAAAGATTTGGTAAGATATAATGATAATTTGTGTTATTTGTTATGTGTAGTTGATGTTTATTCAAGATATGGTTTTGTTCAGTTATTGCAAAATAAATCTAGTAAAAATGTTACGGAAAAATTTGAAGATATTGTATTGAAAGAAAATGAATTTCCTAAAGAAATAGTATCACACGAGGGAACTGAATTTCAAGGGATTCGAAAAGAATTGTCAAAAAAATATAATTTTACAAATTATAATATTTATAATCGTGAAATTAAAGCTACTCATGCTGATAGATTTATACAAACAATAAAACAGATGATTGGAAAAACTATTGACTTGTTGCAAACAAGAAAAGAAAAAAAATTTACTTATGAAAATACTTACATTTAATTGTGGAAAGATATAACGAAAATCCTTATCGTGAATTACTTTCGGACAATCTTTCACCATATGATGTTTATTTAGGCGGAAAAAAATTACATCAAAAGATTATCTAATATTATGAACAAAAAAAGAGGTAAAAATTTAAGTATATTAAAGAAAAATGATAAAGTGCAAATTTCAAGAATTAAAAATAATATTTTTGAAAAGGAAAGTTTAAGACAGTAGGTTAATGAGACTTTTTATATAAATAAAGTTTTTTTGACGGATCTTGTTACTTATAAGCTTTGTGATAACAACGGTGAAGAAATTCAAGGGAAATTTTATTGTGAAGAATTAAAAAAGGTTTCAAAATGAAAAATATTACATTAATTTGTAAAGTTAATAATAAAAATTGTTAAAAAAAAACTATATTAATCATTTTGCTACAACATTACCTGGTCAAATTGATGCATTAAAATTTTCGAAATATTTTATTCAAACGGATGTTACTACTAAAAATATTGATATAAGTTTATATCCAATTTTAAAGTTTAATTTACCAAGAATTAAAATACCATTGGGAATATATAACAATAAAAAAAATTTTATCCCTTTTGAATGATTATTTAAATGATTATAATATTTTTTAAGAATAGAAATATTAAAAAAAATATAATTTTAACAAATGGATATACTTGTTACTATGTTCAAGGGAAAGAATCTTATTCTAATTAGGGTAAAAATATGATTTTAAAAATTATATATGGATACAACCTATAATAAGCAAAATACAATATACTGACTAGGCTTCAGGAAATGATACAATTGAATTTAAATTAAATTTTTCAAAAAAATAAAGTTTTGTGTTGGGTTAGACAAAGAAGTAATAAAATATACATTTGACTCTGGATTTGATTCTAAGAAACGTGAATTTGTAAAAAAAATAAAATTATTTCATTGTCCATATCTTCCTGATGAGACAGTTGGAATCAATAAAATGTTTATATATTGTGACAAAATTGATATAGAAATTGTTGGTAGTTCAAAAAGGGAATTGTTATGTATTGTTCCTTTACATTATGCAAATGAAAGTGGAGACAATTTATTTGTGTACAATCCTCCAATTATAAAAAACAATTAATTTCTTCATTTATTAAAAATTTAACTATAAAAGTATTGCATCATCAAGGCAATTATACCATTTGATTCTATAAATATAACGTTGGAATGTCAAATTGATTTAAAAAATGGAAATTAAATTACGACCTATTAAATTACTGCAACATAGTGATACTTTATCTCGAAATTTTTTATTCCACAGATGGATGTATTATATCCATTTAATTTAACAGGAATTAATAAAAATAATATTTATATCGAATAAAGAGTTTAAAACCAAAAAAACCTCAAAAAAGGAGTAGTATTAAATTAAATATTTATTCAGCACTTCCATATAATTTACTCATTTTACAAGTGGAAATGTACAAAAATCCCAGAACTTGGTGAAGTAACTAATGTGCAAAATTGTTTACCAAACAGTATAAGAAATTCCGATAGCAAACCAAATAATATTTCATCTTTTTTATTATTACATAAAAAACTTTTTTTAATTTAAATGGTGAATTATCTAAACTAGATGCTAGTGCTAAATTTAATTTACAATCAATACATATAATGAAATATGAAAAAGGTCCTTTGATTCTATTTTCATAATATATAATATTTGAATTGGAGTATGATGATTCAGATAATAACTAATTACTAACAAAGAACTAGATATACTTCTGGACTTAAAATTTGAAGAAACTAATGAATTTCAATGAAGATAGTAAAAATAATTCGTATAAATACTATGGAGATGTATTAGAGGGTAATAGAATGAAATATTGTAATCCATATTATAATTATATAAAATATAAATTTAATTCTATCACTGAAAAAAGGAATTTTTTAACTGATACTGCACTTAATTCTTTATTATAAAAACAATTATCAAAATATGTTGTAGAAATATAAACTTCCTATATATATATATATATAGGAAGTTTATAATTATGATTTTCCGTATAAAACAGTGCTCGATGAGAGCAGAGCGTAAATATGTGTAGTGGTGTAGAGAAAAATCACAGAACTACAGATTCATCCCGACAAGCCTGTTTCGTGATTGCTCACTCTTCAGGGGATTTAATGAATAAAATACTTAAATGCTTAAAATATATATACAAGATGACGGAAGTTAGTGTATTAATCAAGGTGTATAGTTTCAAGTTAGATGACGCGAGTTAGAGTATTAATTGAGGTGTATGGTTACAAATTACATAGGAATGTTTTGGATCTATGGCGGCAAGAGGAAACAAGTTCGTTGCGTTTATTGAGGGATGATTTGGATGGTTGGTAGAGGATGAAGAATTTTTCTTTGAGGCAAAGGTTGCATCTTTTACTGGTGCTGTTGTATGGTTTGCTGTGTGTGATGATGTTCCATGAGATGTCGTGGTCGATATTGCTGTCTTTAAGGGTCCAAATGTGCTTACTGAGCTCGGTCGAGTTTCGTAGTTTTTTGTGGCGGAAAGAGGCAGTGTGATTTTTATGTCTAGTCTTAAATTCGTTTTCTGTAAGTCCAATGTACGTCTCAGTTGTGTTATTGTCTTTGCGTTTTACAGTAGCTTGGTAAACAACGGATGACTGCAGGCAGTTTCCGTTAAGTGGGCAGTTTTGTTTTTGTCGGCAGTTGCATGTTTTTGTAAGTGTCTTTTTGTTCGCGGTGTTGTCGTTAGTTAGGACTAGACATAGAAATCACACTGCCTCTTTCCGCCACAAAAAACTACGAAACTCGACCGAGCTCAGTAAGCACATTTGGACCCTTAAAGACAGCAATATGAACCACGACATCTCATGGAACATCATCACACACAGCAAACCATACAACAGCACCAGTAAAAGATGCAACCTTTGCCTCAAAGAAAAATTCTTCATCCTCTACCAACCATCCAAATCATCCCTCAATAAACGCAACGAACTTGTTTCCTCTTGCCGCCATAGATCCAAAACATTCCTATGTAATTTGTAACCATACACCTCAATTAATACTCTAACTTGCGTCATCTAACTTGAAACTATACACCTTGATTAATACACTAACTTCCGTCATCTTGTATATATATTTTAAGCATTTAAGTATTTTATTCATTAAATCCCCTGAAGAGTGAGCAATCACGAAACAGGCTTGTCGGGATGAATCTGTAGTTCTGTGATTTTTCTCTACACCACTATATATATATATATATATAAAGTGCATAACAATGTGACCTCCAGCTATCACCCTAGTAAAATGGTGAATGCTGCACTTGGGACACAGGATGTATGATTACACATTGTATGGATTGTTTTGTAGAGTGCCCAGAGCGCTCAAACCTATAAAGTTGAGCTTTGCATATAGCGAAAGCGTTTACTATTAATAACTTATAATTATATATATATACACGTGTGTATATGGAATTATTCTAACTCGGTGTCTGATTCAAAATCTGAAAATTGAAGCAGTGATTCGCAGTCAGTCTCGTTATCAACTGAACTGGTTTCAATCTCTAATGTATCCTCAATTACGTTTGTTGGACGCAAAATAGATAATGCATGCTCTGCTTCTCTCTTGAAGAATGGTAATTTACTCTTACTAGCTTCTGTTAAATAGTCATTTAACATATGTTTCAGTGAATACAGTGCATTATTTAATAAACGAAACGTTATTATGAGTAAAATTATGTATGGCGGCGGTAGAAGTTCAAATGGACTTGCTCGAAATAAGCCGGATCATACGAGATATAACAGATATACACGCGATTAAATTGATAAAAGAAGAAGCCCTTTTGATGCTTGATGGTCAACGATTAAAGTGGACAGGTGACCTGACATCTTTGCCAAATTTTGTCGAAAACACCGTCGGATTGGTGGGCATTTGGAAATCGCCCGGAGGTAAATCAAAAAAGTTTGCTAGAAGCGATCTAGATTTGATTATAACTTGGTACCCGGGCAAGCTAAGTACAATGTCTTTTAATGGAAAGGACGGAGAATCATTTAAGAATTTGTTGATAAGCGTCTTGGAGTCTTCAAGCGCTAACTTGTCTGAAGTGCAAGATAAGATTAACACCGATATTGAAAATAAGCATGAATCTGCTGAGCAAACTATACGTGAAAGCTGTGAGACACGGGGCGAACTTGCTAAATCTGAAACGCGAAATTTGCCTGTATCGGCTTTTGACCAGTCGACAATCAAGGAGTTACAGGACTTTATTGATAGTTCCTTTCAAAAACTTTCCTCACAAACAAATAAAGACGATTTAACGGAATCTCTTATCGGCGCAACTCCATGTCGAGCCGAAGACGCTGAAACATCCTTAGAGGACAAGTTTGATGAGTTTAAAAATCAAATTGAATTAACGGTGTTTAAAATGGTGGCAAAAATTTCAGAACAAAAGCAAGTCATACTTAGAAACAAGCAAGATATATGCAAATTGACAACAGAAAATTTGAATCTAAAGTCACGCTTAACAAAGATGGAAAGTGAAGTGCTTGTTTTGTCACATGCCACGCCAACTATTACACCAAAAATTCCTTTAAATGACGAAACGACTACATCGCAAAACAATGTGCCCTTAATTTGTAATGCAAAACCTGCTAATCTCGAGACAAGCGTAGGCGTGCAGGACTCAGTAAAATCCCCTGCAGCAGGTCAAGGCTGCAAGAGTAGAAGAGCGACTGAAGTTCAAATTGATAAACAGCTTATTGAGTATCGACGAAAGGAACAAAGCAAATATCAGAAAGATTTCCCTAGTAATAAATGCTTAGATCAACTTGAGTCCCAATTACATGAATATCAATGCAAGCAGCGGAATAATTATCAAAGCTGTAAAGTCAGCGAAACGATTAGCACTCAAAACCAGCAGACGCAAAGAAATGAAATTCCTAGCAACGAACTTGTCTCTCAGAATACCGAGCATCAACGAAAACATCAGAGCAACTTTAATTCTGAATTAAATAAAGACTTAAAAATCACACGAAGTGATAGAGTAATGAAGCGAGTACATTCGACCGCACCAGGCCATAAACAAACCCCTTTTTGGCATCGTCAGTCTTTCCAACGACGCCCTTATCACCAATACTTCCATCAACAAGTTCCTTTGCAGAATCGTCAGTTGAATTCTTGGCATCTTCAGCATCGTTATTCCCATCAACAGAAATTACCAATGGAATTCAGCCTGACGAAAGAATTCAGAGAGGAACAGCAAAAGTCTTGGAGAGAATACCTGTGCTATGTAAAAAAGGCGACAGCCAACAACACCAACACGATCAATTTATAGTGAAAGACATTTTTAAAGAAAAAGAAGATAGTACATTAGAGTGTTGTTTGTCTATCACACAATCGCTTGAGTTCGTTCGAACAATACCTACACTAGTAAGATCGTCTCTTAATCCAAGCGATCATTATAACTTACGTTCCCGTTGGAGACCGTCTGGTCATAACAAAAGCAATTGTATTATTATTCCAAGAGTATCCTTTAAACGTTGTGGATCACCAAATGTATTTGTACCATCCATAATGTTGTCTAATATCATGTCGCTGGCCCCAAAAATCGATGAACTACATGCGTACATTGCCAGTTCAAGTGTGGATATTCTATGCATCGTGGAAACTTGGTTGCAAAGTCATATTGATGATAACATTGTTTCGCTACCCGGATATAATTTAATTAGACGCGATAGACGTGAACGCATTCATGGTGGTGTTTGCGTCTATATTCGAAATACAATTAACTTTAGCATCCTGCAAGACTTTTTAACAAATGAGTTCGAAGCATTATGGTTAGATCTTAGACTGACCCGCTTACCAAGAGGTGTGTCCAATATTATTTTATGTAATTTGTACCACCCACCGGGGGGCGAATGATGAGGCTATGATCAATTATCTTTTTGAATCACTACAAACAGTTGAAACAAAATTTCCAAATTGTGGGATAATTATCTCGGGCGATTTTAACAAATTGAACGTTCGTCTGCTAAAGAATAGTTTCCAATTGCGTCAGATCGTAAATTTCCCTACTCGTGGCAATAATAAGCTGGATTTGATTTTAACAAATTTGAAAGAATTTTACGATTCTCCAATTAAACGTCCTCCCTTTGGACTATCCGATCATGTTACCGTAGAAGTGCAACCATTAAAAAGATCTGAAAACTCTGGGACAAAAGTAGTGGTAATGTCAAGGGATTTGCGACCATCCAAACGTTCGGCCTTTGGTAAATATTTAGAAGAGGTTAATGTCGAACAGTGGGTAGGAGGAAATAGTGACGACAAAATGAAAAATAGTGATGACAAAATGAAAATGTTAGAGCTCATCATTAACTTTGGTCTTGATTTCCTACTCCCCACAAAAAAGAAAGTGCTGATCAATAATGAGCCTCCTTGGATGACCAAATCGCTAAAACAACTGATCCGCCGAAGGGAAAAAGCTTTTGCACAAAAAGACCTTGACTCCTTCAAGAAATTAAGAAACCAAGTAAACCGAGAAAGAAAATCTTGTTGGAAACGTTTTTACCAAAACAAAGTAGAGCATTTAAAATCGTGCTCATCTGCAAGTTGGTGGAAGGAAATCAAAAAGTTAAGTGGTATTTCACCGTCGGTTTCTTCACAGGAAGATATGATGTTAACCTTGCAAAATATTGATAATGCACTAACACCCTCTGATCACTTTCCTGAGCAACTTGCAAACATGATCAACGAATCCTTTCTAACACCCATGAAAGATTTTAACCCACTGCCCCAACATTTATGCTTTAATAATGAGAATGATTACCTGTCACTGAGTTTACTGCTTTCAAGATGTTGTCAGCTCTTAACGCAAGGAAAGCAACTGGCCCAGACGGTATTCCCGCCTGGGTTCTAAAAGAGAATGCTGATTTATTGGCCGCTCCCGTGGCAGATATTATAAACAGCTCCTTTAAAGAAGCCCGGTTACCAGAATCATGGAAAAAAGCAAATATTACACCGATTCCAAAGCAGAAACCTGTACGAGATATTAATAAACACTTAAGGCCTATATCACTTACAGCGATTGTATCAAAAGTAGCCGAGGAGTTTGTTGTGGAAAATTATGTCAAGCCAGCTGTACTTAAGAAGATAGACTCTAATCAGTATGGGGCAATTCCAAATTCAAGCACAACTATAGCTTTACTTAGTATGTTACAGTCGTGGAATAAAGCAACTGATGGTAACGGGGCGGCCGTTCGTGTGTTGTTATTGGATTTCAAGAAAGCTTTTGATCATAACTTATTGGTTGAAAAACTACGTTCATTTGATATACCGAAATGGGTTCTACACTGGATTATGGATTTCCTCTCCTTCAGGAAACAAAGAGTAAAGCTGAAATTCGATTGCTTTTCAGAGTGGGAACTCGTACCAGCAGGTGTTCCGCAGGGCACAAAATTGGGGCCTTGGCTATTTTTGATAATGATTAACGATCTCAAGTTACCAAATAATGAAATGTGGAAATTCGTGGACGATACCACTGTTAGTGAAGTAATTGAGAAAGATAAAACAAGTAACTTACAAAACCAAATGGACACATTAGCGAACAGCATCTCGCGTGATAAGTTCCAGTTAAATCAAACCAAATGTAAAGAGATGCGAATTTGTTTTGGATCTAATACCAATGACCTTCAACCAATTACCATCAATAACATTACACTGGATATTGTCCAACACGCGAAAGTTTTGGGATTGGTTATAGCCAGTAACCTTAAGTGGAACATCCACGTAAATGAAATAATTAAGAAATGCCGTAAACGCCTCTATTATCTTATTCAACTAAAACGAGCAAATATCGAAGTCAAGGAATTGCTCCAATTTTACAAAACGTGTATAAGACCTGTCTTGGAGTATGCTTGCCCAGTGTTCCACAATAGTCTGACATTGTATCTGTCAGATAACCTAGAGTCAGTCAAAAGCGAGCATTAAAAATAATCCTGCCTCATCAAGAATATGAAAACGCTCTGCAGTTTACTAATTTACAACGCCTTAGCGAAAGGAGGAATGATATAACAACAGCGTTGTTTCAGAAGATAGTAGCAGATTCCTCACATAAGCTTCATGACCTTTTGCCTCCTCGTTTAGAACGTTCAACTATGGAACTTAGGACTCAATCTTCATTCAATACTAACTTTAATACCAAACGTTTTAGAAATAGTTTTATAACTTTTAACTCATTGAAGATGTAATTTAGTTAATTTATTTATGTATGTATTATATGTAATCTTAAACGTATTTCAGCAATATGGCTGCCAGTTTTTAAGAAATAAATCATCTATCTATCTATCTATCTATGTTAACTAGATCTTTCTTAAAATTTGCTACAGTTCCTCTCAAGATTTTGCTCTGAACTTCCCCATTAACATTGATATAGGACTCCAGTTCTTGTTTCTTGTCCAAGTAATAGGTAGGTAGGTCACTTTGCAGATATTGTAAAAAATACTAAGAAGTAAGGCAAGCCTTTTGACTATATGGATTGTGCATTTTTTTGTCGCCACTTTCTTTCTTCTCTCAATGTTTTCAACCTGTTTCGTTACTCTAAAAAAATACATCAAAACAAATTTAAACGATAATATTACAACGAAACGACTATTGGTTTAAGGAGATTGAAATTGTTCTCAACCCTTATTCACGAGGTTTTATCAGCGACAAAAAAATGCACAATCCATATAGTCAAAAGGCTTGCCTTACTTCTTAGTATTTTTTACAATATCTGCAAAGTGACCATGATCAACTTCCTGAATACAAGCAATCTGCATTCTATAACGAAATGATTTCGAATAATTTGTTTCTCATCCAATAATTTGTTTCTACCTTTTGATCGAAGCATGTCATTTACTTCACCTTCCTTAAACTCATGACAATCCTTAACAATAAAAGGCTTCGTAATATTCAAAAGTACATAAAATAGCAAACTCGAGGGAAGACAATTTCTGAAATTCAACTACATTTCCCAATACTTACAGTTTTAGCTTGTTCAGCACTTGAAGTGTAGTTATCAACAAATGAATCAACTTCTTCTTGATTGTGGAACAAAATGGAATTATGCCTTGACAAGAACTGAGCCTTCGCTGAAGTCTTTTTTCTCACAAGACCAAAACAAGCATCCATTGATTCAATCAGAGTACCAGCTTCATCAGGCTATCAATGGATGAAATGAATAACAATGATGCTCTTAGAATGAAGATATCAACAACTTCCCTACAACTGTTTTTAAATATTGTGTTTAATGGTTAAATGTGTACAATTCCGCAGAACAAATGTCTATTAAATTTTTAGAATAAGAAAGCTAGCTTTGAACGAATTGCAAGAGATGCACAATTATAAATTTCGTACTTTGGGACAAAGAGGGCACAAATATCTCCCTGGGACATGTTGCTTTACAAGCGGGTAACCATTTCTCAACAAATGCCGATGATACCTGCGAAATAAAGAAACCACTAAAAATTCAATCATACACTATTACCAGAGCAATCATGAGACTTCACGATCACATCCCTCAGTCTTTCTACAGTACTTTTCGCATCTAAGTTTACACAATAATTATAGTTTATGAAACTAATTTATATTACAAACCGAAACTCATCAAATGAGTTGCTGTTCAGTGTTGAATACATGTTCTTAATCTATAATGAAATAAAACAATTACAAGAATATACACATGTACAACAAGAGCAGGAGCAGGGTGAAATATTTAATCTTTTGTAATGTGCCTTTCTATGAAAGATTAAGGTTACAGTTCAAGAAAACCAAGTTTTTCTATGTTACGCTAAAAATAAAAGCTCTCTCAGTGTATGATATGAATAGCTAACAAATCTGTGCTGTTTAACTAAATTTTAAACATAAACTTGCAAAGTTAAAATAACAATCAGTGATATATTAAAGCCGGAAAGTCATTCTAATTAGCTTAAAAAGATGTTTCTGATGTCGCAGCTTCAAATATGTTCAGGTCGAGTGGGCTGTAGTTGAGGGCAGGAAGCCCGTGTTGTATTATTTGAGCGATGGGCCCAAGCGCGCGTTTGTGTGCGAGGAGCTCCAACTGGTGCCCTTTGGGACAGAAACACCGCCGGCTTAGACGTTGGGGTCCTGTCACGCTTTTATTCGCTGTCGCGTTTTTTATTTATTTATGGAAGCGAAGCTTTCACTGTCACGCTGGCTCCTGGTACTACGCGCACGGAGCCTTGCGCTTAGCCGTGGAGCAGCTCTTCTACGAAGGCATCAAATTCTTCGCCTATGGCACCTGCTTCCCTATGCCCGTATGTTAGGGTAGAGATCCCATCGGCCGCAATCCAGCGCTTCGTGTCCAGCGGACTCAACGATGTCTTGTTGACATGCTCGCCGAAGATCTGATGCCCGAGACTGCGCAGCATATCCATACCGTGGCGGAAGCGCTTTCCTTTGAAGAGCGCCTCTTTATACTGAGCATGACGGATATGCTTTTTCACGACGGCCTTTTTAACGCCCTTGGCTTTGCGCTCCTCGAGACCATCGGCTTTCAGGATAGAGTACATCTTGGGACTGAGTCCTACAAGCTCGGCGATAGGCGCCCCAGCGCACTCGTCCTTCATTTTCCCCAGCACCTTCTTGTTGGCCGTGCTGAAGAGCGGATGTTCTTTGGGGTAGTTGCTGGTGTCTTACTGACCGGCGTTGCACCTCATGTTGGCGTACACGTCCTCAGTCTGGATCTCCAGCACAAGGCTGTCGGTGTCGCGGTGTAGAGGAGCTCTGCAGCCGGCCCGCACTGCGCCTTGAAATGGTTGTAGTACCAGTCGTACATCAGATGCTTCGAGAGGTCGAGAATGCTCATGCCGACGAAGACCGGTCGGTTGAGCAGCAGACTGCTTTTATTAATGTGAACGGCTGCGAGGTCTCCGGCATCACCAAAGATGAGATGCCGATTGTATGTCGGCTTGGCGATAAGTTTGCGGAGTCTCTCGTTCTCGCTTGGCCGGAGCAGCTTCACGTCGACACCGCTTTCGGAGGTTCTCCATCGTCTTGCCAAAGACGCTGTTGTTCAGCAGCTTGTAAAGGTTGACCTCGAAGTCGCTTTTCGCCTTCTTCCGCAGTTCGGTGTTTTTCCGGATGTAGGGCTCCATTCATGGGCTCTGGTCGAAGCGGAGCGCTCTGCGGATCTTTTTCAGGCGCATGCCAGGCTTCAGATAGAGCTGCAGATTCCGGTAGTGCAGGACGTATCGGGTCTTGTCACGCAGATTGGGGACCAGCTTTTCAACCTCTTGAGAAACACCCCCACACATCTGTTTGAGGAGATTTTGCTGGTAATCCTACATCCACGCGCCGTCGACCTTCTTGCGTTCCGGCGCCAACGGATATGGGTTGTGCTCGTCGGGAAGCTCTTCTGCTACTCCAGATCGACTTCGAGAATGTAGCCCTTCTCCGCATCCACACGCTGGGTGGGGGCCGCCTTTGCATCCTCTGGGTGGACCCACTCAAACGCGCCTGTCGGTAGCAACTGCGACATCGCCCAGCCGTACAGGTTGTTGGCGTCGTAGTACTAGATCCAGCTCGGGGGCTTCCCCGGATCGTTGTCCGGCACCTTAGGGTTGTTGGCCTTGGCGAAGCGCCTGCTGCTCAAGCTGATGCCGTCGCGCATGCACTTCTCAATAAAGAGAAGCATATCTATGTCAGTGAGCAGCTCGAGATCCACCCCCGTGTGCTGGAGGAGAGCGTCCCAGCTCAGACCCGGGCTCGTGTAGTAGTAAACCGGGTCTAGCTTCTAGTGCTAAAGGCAAAGTTTTCGGAAGTTCTCGAAGACGTCGGCGAAGCGGAGAACATCAGTCCGAAGATAGATGTCGTTGTAGTCGCAGAGGGTTGTGCAGCCGAAGGCGTCCCAGACCTTTTCTCCGTGGGCATAGTCGTCATCGGTAATGCCTTCATCGGAGAGTTTGCAGTAGAAAGCCTCCTTCGGCGGGAGGGATTCCTCATCAAATCTGGACCAGCCGTCCATATACTCGTAGGGGTATATCCCCCTGCGGAGAAGGAGGGTACGCCTCTTAGGGTTTGGCTCGAAATCTGCTGTGATGCGCATGTCTCGCGGATCGCTGGCTTTCACCAGTCTATCCAGACTTGAGAGCATAAACTGGGCGCTGTCGATGAATCGAAGCTGGCCGATACTGAACGAGATGTATTTCTCGAGGTTGTTGGGAATGCAGGTGAGCTTCCCTTTGCTCTTTGCGATGGCCTGCATGATAAGATGGCTGTCGTAGCCCCGCAGGTTGTGAAAGACAACTGGTATGGTTGTCGTCTTCGGACTGAACCGCAACTTGAAGTTGCGCTCATTGTGGGCCGCACCTCGGTACTTGCCAGTAATGTGGCAGTGCTCTCGCACGGAATCGCTTTCGAGGGACTTGCTGCAGACGTGGCAGCTTGTGGCTTTCTTGTTGCTCCCCCAGTCCTTTCTTGTCATGCGCATAGGCTCGTGGTTAGCCAACATCGTCTTGATCTTACGCTCTTCTTCTTGGAGCGCTTCCAGGAAATGCTTGTCCGCGTCAGGCCCTCTGTAAAGCTGCGGCGGCTGAGTTTCTCCATCGGAACGAATGACTATGAATGAGTAGCTGCATGCCTCGTGCCTGGAGGTTTGCTGGGTGCCGCTCTTTCCAGGTTAAGCGCGGGGCCCTCGATTTTACGAATCAAGCTCTCAAAGTCGGCGTAGATTATGAATGGCGCTTTGAGCTCTTTGTGGTAGTTCTCAAAGCGAATTTTGTCATTTTTTACCGGGGGTTGGAATTCTAATGGCAACGGCAGCCTGGTTGATGCCTCGACAATCAGGCGTATGCTCTTCCAGCAAATCCTGTCTGGTGAAGCCGTGAAGGCAACGCTCACAGAAGTGCAGTTGGTGGCCATTCTTCGATTCCCGGTTGAGAAGGCGGTTGAAGCCCTTAATCCACGTGTAGTGGACTTTCCCAGGGTTTTTCGGATACGAGACGAGGAGGAGTTTCACAGTCTTGCGATCTCTCTCTACTTTGCTCAGACGGTAAGGAACGACGCCGCCTTCCTAACCATACACGTCGGTAGCAAGGTCGTTCTGACGCTCTACTCGTTCGAGCTGGGTGAGCGGTGTCGGTTCGAGCTGGGTGAGAGGAAGGTATAATCCTCCGCGTAAAGGCTAATTGCGGGCGATGTCAAGCCAGAGTGTTTTAACACAATTCACTACCCACCCGGACCCTTCCCGAGTGAACTTTTCCAATCTCTCCAGGATTGTTGGGAAGGCTTCATGTAGGGCTTGCGGAATCTCATGTGCGTGAAGCAGCATGAACTGCTATGTCCGGAACGCTGGTGCTTGAAGCACTTCAGTACCATTTGTTTCATCCTTCCGAAGCTCAACCTCCACAGCCAACTGGAACTTAATTCCTCGTAGAGCTAATAGCTCCTCAACGAGTTTGCGTTCGATGTAGGGCTGGGCGCTTTTGAGGAAAGCCATCAAGTCACGTTCGAAGGGCTGCCCCTTCGGCACCTGCATATTCCAGGCTCTCAGATAATAACTGAAGGCCTTCGTTTCATCTCACTTAAGTTCCGTGGATGGTGGGGGAGGAGGCCTTGTGGGGCGTCGTGGTTTGCGCATAAATGAGTCTATTTCAGCCAGAAGCTCATCGATGTATGCGTCCATTTCATCATCAGCAGACTTGGCGGGCGTTTGCTAGCGCGGTTTGGAGATAGGTGGAGTGACACTCTGGCGGTTTCTTGGTGTGGGCGCTGGGCAGTGGGCGGTTGAAGGGCCTTAAGAAAGGCATTCAGCGCGTCTACGATGACTACGCCTTGGTCATGTAGTTGGAGAGCTTTCTTGACACTATCCATATCAATGAATATAGCCTATGATACGCTCTTCTCTAAATGGATGTAGCCTAACATACAATGAAAAATCAGTGAATATAACCTACCATACGCCCTTCTTTAAATGGAAATTCCCGGCATCCACCTCGCCGAGGACCAGGCTAAAATGCCTTCGTGCTCATGCCTCTTTTCTACGAAGGCGAGCTTTCCCGGCTAGCTGGTCACAATCTGCGCATCGTTGCGCCTCTGTCTGCCAGCTGATACCACAACCCCGGCATGGGAGCGGCACCGGTGAGCCACGCCGGATTTGTTGCAGACGCACTCCACAATACTTACCCATACATGACATTCCACACGGTTCTCTAGTGTGGACCTTCACCCACGCACAAGTCTTTTTGATCCGCCTCGTGAGTGTTTGTACGTCTGGATAAACGCTGTGAATCGTCTTTCTTCAAATGACCCACGGCCGATGAGGGGGGTGTCCGGCCGTTGGGTGCCTTCGCTGTCATGTGATTTTTTGTGCCGACCTATGTGCTTACTATGTATGTGAACCACGTACGCGAACTAGGGCTGGGGCGCTTAGATTTGTGTATACTCCTTCTCAAACTGTGAAGTGGGCCAGAACTGGCAGTCCTTATACTATTGTAGAGAGTTTTAACCCTGAAGCTCTGTTTTTTTGGCTTTGTAACGACTATAAAATAAGATGGCAAGTTGTATTGAAATTTGAAATTTGAAGATGACGAGGACAATTTCAGCCGTGAGAAGCATTTTTAGAAGATGAATACAAATTTACAACAAAGTTAGCAAAAAGGTATTCATATCTTCAACATATTCATCTGTATTGAAGTTGTT